TCGCAAAAATGGGGAAAGAAAAAAAGGGAAAAAGGTACATTTTATGTGTGTAATGTTTGCGTGCTGAGTAGTAACTGGCCCTGACTCAGCATTATACTGTGGAGCAAACGTATTCCACAGCGCTCGTCATTCTATCTAATGTGTTCTTTTATGCCAAAAAATTCACCAACCAAATCCCTTTTTTTTTGGATTTAATAACTGTAAACTGTATTAAAATTTTAATATGTATTGTGTAAACTATAGCTACTATTAGAAGTAGCTGTATGAATGAATTATTAGAATATATGATCAAACCGTTTTTGTATTACCTTAACGTTGTCATTTTTATATCTAAAGTAATTTTTATAACCCACAAAAAGGCAGTCGTATTTCTGTGCCCGTTTTTTCAGTGACAACTTCACACACTCGCCGTGGCCTTCACAAATATTAGGGGGCTCAAATCCAACATCCAAGCTTTAAGAAAAACCGCGCACCGCCACTATGCGGAACCAGCTGCCCACTTAAGTGATTCCAAACCAATTCGACTTTCCATGGGCGAGCCTCCTGCCTGTTTGCCCCCTATTAAAAAAAAGAATATAATGCATTGGAGTATATAAAATTATAAAATAATGTTAAATCAAGGCCTCTCGATTAAAGCTATACCTTTTCTAATTAAATACGTTTGTTGAGCAAAGGAAACGCCCATTATCTTGAACTTTATAATTCAAGGTTGTAATACTTAAAATAATCTTACTATTTCGTAAATTGCGTCGTCTTCATTAAATTAAAATCGCTTTAACTGCTGATGCACGTTTGTATTTCTATGCATCTCTACGATTCTTGGGTCAACGGAATACTTTAAATAATAGAGGATGTTATTTTCACTCTATATTCACAGCTCACGAACAACAAAAGAACAAATGCTTAATAAAATGATGTACTATGTAATCAATGCTGAACAAAATCCCTGCATCTGGCTACACTCTCGGGGCGTAACTCCGACTTAGGTAATCGCAACGCTTATAAAACTAAGAAACCCTGAATGAGCAAAATGTACAGCCTTGGCTCGTACAGTTTCATTAATCTTACAGATTGGTATCAGTTAGTAATGGTATATATACAATATAATTTATATTAAAGATTGGTATCAGTGATTAAAGCGCGCGGGTCGATTCCTGAAAAATATAAATGTTTCGACTTAGATGGCTGATGATCTTCTTGCTTACTTTAAGAGACTTTAAGAGGCTGTTGGTTCGGTAATTTTAAACTATTCAACATATATAGACGAAACTGTAATTATCGGAATTTTTAAAATTTATAATATTTACACAGGTGTTCTATACATATAAAAAATCAGTATAATCTTTGTTCCAGTACACATTATTTACTTCATAACGAATTATTATTGTAACAACTGGTGATTTGCAAATAGGTATGGCTATACGAAATTGTAGCTATTTTAAATGTTAATTAGAAACTTTTAATTAAACGGTTCTGTTAAATGAGATAATTTATAATAGAACATAAACTTCTTTTTACTATAGTTAAAAAATGTATACACAAGTAAACATAGTCCCCGTCACTTCTTCCCTCAGGATCGGGAAATCCGTAGGCGAATACAGAGAACTGATCAGAATATGGCAAAACAGAAACGTGTCAATTACCAAGAGCAGGCTGGCGAGAACTGTTGTATTTTCCATATTTTTTACAGATCAGACCTTATTCATGCAGCGGACCGAAAATAGATAGAGGCATTCCAGATGTGGTGTTTGAGATAAATGTTGTGAATACCATGGACTGCAAAAAGAACCAATAAGTCCATTCTCAACCAACTATCTTTAGTTGTCACCACATGATTGTCCACTATCATTTACACGGGTGCTTAGGAGCCTTTTAAAATAATAAAAAGTGAAAAAAAAAAAAAAAAAAAAAAACAAAAACTTGTTTTTTTGAAATTTTCACATGAATTTTAAAGTTATGTGAAAAAGTGTAAACACAAAAGTTTTAGATCTTTTTATTATCTACAATTTTGCCATAGGACTTTTAGTTTTTCCGGAAATCGAGATAAACCGTAAATTATTTTTCCTTTCATTTTTATAATATGGAGAATATCCTTTTCCAATGGTTTTCATCCTACTATTAGTTTTTTGGTTTCAAAAATTATCCACCCTGGTCTATAGCTACATTGGCCATATTGCCAGGAGCGAACCAAATAGTCTCGACAAGGCAGGATTGATGGCAGGAGAAATCGGGGACGATCTCCTACCCGTTGGTCTGGCTAAATTTAGACAATTATTTTCAACATCCCTTATGCACTGAGGCAAGCTGAGTATAGAGTGATTTGGAGGCGATTCGACGGGTCGGTTAGGGCTTTTTAAGACGGGAACTACCTTCAGTAATGAAAGCAATCAACCTTCTTTCTATTTGAACGTGATTCGGGACTCGAATCTAGAAGTTCATACACCATGTGGGTCAAACACAAAATAAAGCCATCTGCATATTGTAAATTGTTTTTGGTATGCATATGTATACTTTTGAAGCAATTGGTACATAGGTAAGTATATAAAATAATACAAAATATAACAGAATTTGGAAGGTTAACTTAACAAAACTGACGTACAACTAAACGTAACGTAACCTTTTAAATTGTTGCACAATGATACGGTCGACTCTAATAATTTCGCAAATTGAAGATTGAAGTACCTAACAAAACAAATATTTACAAAAGAGTCTTAATATTCTCTGACTAACAAGATCAAAAAGTTTTAAATCGTGAAACGGGGTCGCAACACTCATTTTACAATATTACTTGCATTACTCTGAGTTCTACCAATGACTGTGCATTTTTATAAAGATTTTAAAGTACAAGGTTTTAAATAATATTCTAACAAATGTGAAGCTTGAGCGTACGACTCTTATTCCTGAGGTCGTAGGTTCGATCCCCGGCTGTGCACCAATGGACTTTCTTTCTATGTGCGCATTTAACATTTGCTCGAACGGTGAAGGAAAACATATTGATGAAACCAGCTTGCCTTAGACCCAAAATGTCTACGGCGTGTGCGAAAAGAAGGCTGATCACCGATTTTCCTATTAGATTAACAAATGATCATAAAACAGATACAGAAATCTAAGGCCCAGACCTAACAAGGTTGTAGCGCCACTGATTTGTTTTTATAAAAAAAAGACTAATCAATACTTCTTTAATTAATGTACACAAATAAATGAAACAGTTTTTTACTATTAAATTTGGTTTGAAGTCGGTGATTGTTTAATAATTGATTATTTTGCCAGCTGTATGTATTTACTATATTGTATGATATTAGAAACTGCTAAAAGATGGCATTATATTACAATAATTACGATATAAAACAGTATTTCAATATGTATAACACACAAAGTATATAGTGTGTATATATGTGTCAGTTTAATTATTGCAAAGCAAATCTATTTCGCTCACAATATTCGCATAACTTTTTCTGCTTTCTTGGGCCATTACAATAATTAATTCTTCCTTAAGTATAAATTACAGTCAAAATAACTAAAAGAAATCTAAAAAAGCTGTTTCTAAATTTCTAAAGTCTTTACTTAGATGCGGAAACACCAGCCTCTCCCCAAGATGTTCAATGCCTGCATTGTGAAGAGACAAATAAAATGTATTATTATTATTATTTCAAGGTTTCAGCTTCTGTGCCAGGAACGGTTATTGTTTCGCTAAAAAAACCGGATCATAGATTTTTGTAGTACAATTATATTTATTAGAGAAACCACCATTTAGGTGTAAATTTATAGATTTAGCTTTAAGCTCTACGAATAAATGATATTAGTGCACTCATATGTAACGAATGTAGTGTAATAAGCAAAAGTAAATCGGCAAGGCCGTCCAAGGCAGGCGAGCTCGACACGTGGGAACGCTCTCTCGGTTGTAGAGCCATACCTGTTGCCACACTGACATTCACTTTGTTCTGACTTTAATCAATTCACTTTGCTCTACCAGACATTCGTAAGATATCGTGTAGAGGAATCCGATATGTAATTACGAAATATAGATTTAAAATTTAACAACAAAAAAAAATTTTCATTCAAGGGAAGTGGCTAAAAATAAAAAATATATAAAAATCGATGACACGTACAGATACCTCAATTTTGAATTAACCATAAAACGTATGTTTTTTTTACTTAAAATCTGTACATCTATGAATAATTCAAGGTATAATAATAGTTTCATTATTTAAAATTACTATTAATTATATTGAAGATTATATGAATTAAATATGTTTAAGATACAAAATGTGTATGTAAAAATATGCAAACTCCATTAGGATCAGGTCAGGTCCTTCATCTTCTTCGGCCTCTTTAAGAATCTGATAAGTCTCGGCAACAATCAGGCGCTGAAGCTTGCAGGGGAATGACCGAAAAAAGTTGTTACGACATTTGTTATTTTAATTATTTTCGATTGCAACGTTTCGGAACAGACATAACATTTAATTCTAGATTCAAGTTATAATTTGATTAATATAAAAACAAGTTGCCACATAAATTGCAATCACTTTTTACAACAAACAAAAAGTTGTTTTCGATAATTAAGAAAATAAAATAGTATTTGAATTATAGAAGCTTTATCGCGCTTGGGAGTGTCGCGAAACCTATTTATAACATAGACGATTTAATGTGTGCAAGAACCTTTAAAGGTAAAGTTGAAACCTACTGATAGATGAAGCTGCAACAAATTATCAATAGTGTACTGATATGAGATGAATTTAAAATATGTTTTATTATTTTTGTGTGCAAAAGTATTATATAATATATACAGTTATTTAAACAGCGTTCACCATCAAGATTAGCTCAACCTGTCTTAGATACAACAATCGATAACACATACATGTGTGTATTTATACACAGAATACTCACCTTATGACTCTGTCCTCAATTTTGAACTAACCATAAATCGTATGTTTTTTACTTATATGTACAACTATGAATAATTCAAGGCATAATAATAGTTTCATTATTTCACATCACTATTAATTATATAAAGTGACATAAGCATTATCATACATATTTTTACTAGGCGGTGGACTATCTTTTAACGTTTCTCCTTGCATCAGTAAGTCAACAACAAGATCATTCAAACCAGTAGTTGTTTTATCTAACTCCAAAGTACTTGATATAGGGTCTGTTGTATCATTAAAAGTAATTTTCTCAGTGGACGTGAAGGTAGGATCGTTTTCAATAAAATCAGTGGTTTCAGATAGGTCTTTAGAAAACATAGTCGTATTGAATGAACTTGCATCACTATTAACGATTGTATCTGGAATTGTTGTAGTATTAATTAAATCATTGATTAGATTTTCCGTTAGATGATTGAAGGTCATATTTTCAAATGATAACTCGTTATTTATAATATTTGGTTCCTCTTCATCAAAAGTATTCACATCTACTGTATTCCCCATTAGATTTAGAAGAATAGATTCATTGACTTCTAGAACAATGACAGTTTTGTTGTAACCCTTTTCCTTACTGGAACTTCTTTTTCTTCCTCTTTTATTACTGTTTTCAGGGCTCAAATTTATAATAATTTTTGGTCCAGCATAATCTCTGAGGTTTAAAATTAACGAACTAGGGATTTTGATTAAATTAAAATATTCGTCGTCGTATTTAATTGATCTTCTTTGTCCCTTTATGTTTGAAAGAAGAGAATCCATGTCAGTTGTTTCATTTTCTGATGTTATATTATCTTTGACATGAGAGTTATTCGTAATGTTTGACCCTAAAGGTACGACAACGACAGCATTATCAGACGAAAAGGGTTGGATATTACTCTCGGTGGAAGGTTTAACATGTACAGTAACATTTTCTGGAAGCTTTTCTAAACCATATTCTAAATTACCATTCTGCCGCAGTTCTTCCGTAAATGGTATGATTTGCTGAAATAAAAATCAAATTATTTAATTTTAAAAACTTATATTAAAATAAATAAGTTTAAAGATTTTTAAAGTATTTTTATTATTTTAAAAATATGTTAGGTATATGAATCTCGAGGGAACCTTTAACATTTGGATTCTATGTTATTGTTATTGAATTTTCGTTCATATGTTTATAAACTTGTACTAAGGCAAAAGACTAAAACGTCAGTAAATTTAGCACTATAAATATAAATACTATTTTCGGAACTTACTGAGCTGTATCTCCTGGCGTTTTCTGGAATCGGTTTCGGATTAACAGTCCTCATGAGATAACAGAGTACTCCAAATAAAAGCAGAATAATAGCCGCTGTTGCTATGAGGAATACTGGACCAAGTTTGGCCATTTTCAAGGGATTTATAAAGATATGTATAAAGTTAGAAAAGTGTAAAAATAGAAAAAAATAACATATTTGAAATGCCAAAGCACAATAGGAAACACAAAACGCTGTCAAAACGACTGAAGTCCTTTAATTATAGATAATTGTTAATTCTATAGAAGCTTTATCACAGAATATTATAATTAGTTTTGAGAGTTTTTACTTCTGCTTCATACAAATTACTTACCGCTGCTGCTATAAGCATCTTGTTAGAGCAGTGTTGGCCTAGTGGCTTCAGTGTGCGACTCTCATCCCTAAGGTTCGATCCCCGGCTGTGCACCAATGGACTTACTGTCTATGTGCGTATTTAACATTCGGTCGAACGGTGAAGGAAAACATCGTGAGGAAGTCGTGCCTATTAGATGACAATTGATCATGAAACAGATACAGAAATCTGAGGCGAAGACCTAAAAAGATTGTAGCGCCACAGTTTTTTTTTTGTAGTTTTGCTTACATTAAATTGGTTGGCTAAAGTTGGTACGAGAGTATTATTTTGATAAATTAATAAGGTTGTAAGAAAATGTCCATTCTTAATTTTCAATTCATTCAGTTCCATCACACATTATTTTGTATAACGGATAATTAAAAATTATTAAAAAGAAAATCCGAACAATTTTATAAAGTTTGGTCCCATTGGCAGTGTACCTTTAACGCTGGCAGCATTTCCTCGCTGTATTGCGATACTTATTCGTTGAGCCAGGAAAGTACCAGCTTTGGGGTCACCGGTAATATGTACTAGGCGCCAACATAAATCTTTAATAAGCGCCTGTGCACTTAAACCCCACGGACCGTCTTTGGAACAAAATCGAAGTTGGAGGAAAGACTCTTATATTTGTGCCGTTTATTATTTTCTGCCTGTTCTGCGGCCGCCCCAGGTTTATTGCTTTTTTGCCCAACGTACCTAATCTATAATTCCTATTGAATAATTTAATTTAAATTAACTTGCAGTTAAGTAGCCAATAAAAGATACATAGTTAATACTGCTAAATCTATGATTTCGTACACGGAATTTTTGGGATAGATTAAAACTATTTCTACTACCTTCAAATTATTTATTACGCAAACAGTGGTCTTAGGTTTTCACTTATGTTACCATATAATATTTCTCCAAGTAGTGTTGAAAATATTTCCATGATTATTCATGTCAATATACATTTCTGGCGAAGGCTGAAAATTAAAGCGTTATGGACATGATACGGTCTATTGAATTATTTTTTTTAGATTTAATACTGTAAATAAATCATATACTTAAACAAATATACATAAATATCATTAGCTTTCATTAAAATCACATTTCCAAAGAAGTGGTGGTTGCCTCCGCGTGGGATCATGTGTACCGGAGCGATGAACGAGGGATATTCAAGAATACCAAGAAGATACTATTTCTTATCAATATTGTTGGAAGAAAACAAAAAACTACATGTTTACCAATTCATTTGTTACATCTTCCCGTGCATAATATTCCATCATACGAGCAGCCTTATTCGGTATATTTCTTAAATCAGGGTCTACTTGAATCAGTAGATACATGAACCCAACAAAGCAAAAGATTGTTATTATAGTAAAAGAAAGAATATATCGATATAGTTTCATTATAAATTGTGTTTTTATAATTAATCGAATAGTTGTTCTTTCTAACGACTTTATGACAGATAAGCTGGCTGTTTTAATATACCACAGACAAATTATAACAGAATACATAAATTGAATCTGTGGAATAAAAAAGCAACATGCGTGGTGTGGTGTGGCTAAATTGTACTTATTTAATCACGATAACATAGATATTATTAACCTAATATAATTTACATTTATTTGGAATTCATTATGTATGTTGTCTATTATGTATGTCATAAGTTAATTTAAATATTTGACGTTATTTTTCTTGACTTAATAAAATAAAAAATTATCGAAACAGACTATTTGTTAAAATGAGTTATAATATTTTTTGTGATTAATCGCATGAAAATCAAGTTTAGGAATAGGTTAGTGTTGAATTACTTTTATAAGAATAAATAGATATTGGTTGTCTTAAAGAAGATTTAAGATTTAGAACGTTAAAAATAATTAAGAAACGCCTGTTATTAATAAACTAGCAATGGCAAACACGGCTGATATTGGTGTGAGAGAAGAGAATTGTTAAATAAGTATTAACTCGTATAGTCGCTTTTGCCTTGCCTGAATGACACTCAGGCTGACTCAGATGGACTTAAATTCGAGACCTGATGATCCGCAGTCCAACATGCTAAACAATGAGACAGTTATCTTTGCCTGTTAATATTTAATAGTACCAGTTATATTTGTAACTGGTAAGAATTTGTTTCAGAAATGTCCAAAGATTCTGTAAGACACAGCGACACCGATTCTGAAATTGGATCAGTTCGCTCCAATCGACTTGGAAGACTTGCTCCAATAATATGCCCTATCATTTGTGCCCTTTTCTTAGCTAGTGTATTTGCGATTTCATTTATAGTTTCCAAATTGCTATACAGCTATATGTACAGCACAACCGCCTTCTGTACAAGCCGAAAATATGATCCAACGAAATTATATGTTATTTTAAAAAATAACACCAAATCGCCATCCTTAGTAAGGTTAATTTAACAAAAATCAGTTTTTTATAGCCTTTTATAATTATAGTGTTTAGTGCCACCTGTTACTCAATAATTGTATTACTATTATTTTTAACTCATCACACAGTGATTATAACTTATATAAATAAAACTAGGTGGCGGTATAGTACAGAATAAATTGTAAAGATAACGAATTTAATTTTTTATTCTTGTAATTTATTATATACTAAATTATATTTGATTAAAATTGAAATATATGTATTTTAGTGTTTTTTATGTACATGACAGGACTTTTACTTGTTGATTACTTGACGTTTCACACAGCTTCCGTGTTTCAAAATTCAATCGACAATTTACACAAATCTTATGTCAAAACACTTCCATTGTTAACAAAGTTGTTGAATTTGGATTAAATTTTTTTGTGGTATTAGTTTAAGTTGGCAGATATTTTTTTCATATATCAAATAATTCATACAATTAATATAAAAATGTACATAGTGATTGATCGGTAGTTCAATATATCCTGTTTAATACGCCGCAACGTCTATTATGTAAGTTAAATTTGGTATTTATTATTTTTATTGATCTGGATTGCGAAGGTCATTGTCAACCGGCTTTTCATCTTTCTTTAAACAATATTTTTTTTAGATGATTTGAAGTTGAATGTAGAGTACCTTTAGTGTATAATACTTTTTGACTTTACTATTCTTAACTAAATCTAAAGATTCTGTGATTCCGGAACTGCTGATGATCATAGCAAATATTCTGTCATGTAATTATTCAATATTTTAACAAAAGGAAATACCTACTTGACTGTTGATGAATATAATTTCATAACAATTTAAATTTTCTTATAAGAACGTGTTTTTACCAAAAAGTACAATATCTGTCTTTTTTAAAGTTAGTTTTGGATCTAACAATTTTACTTCAGATTAAATTTATTCTTCTTTAATACTTAAGATTTGGTTTTGTTGGTAAGTTTGTTCATTATGTTTATAATAAAGTTTATAGCTTTGCCTGGAAGAGATTTCCTTATTGCAATAGGGCTGCCGGGTGCACTATTAAATTTTTTTATATTTTGTAAATCAATTTTATTCTGTGCAATGGGATGTGAATAAATAAATATAATAACCTTATGAGTTTGACAACAGCTGTTAAAAGCCCTGATGACTTTTATACAATTCGATCAAGGGTGGTTCACAGATTATGGTTTGCTCGGGCTAAAGGCTCATCTGATGTTAAGTGATACTGTTGGATAAATGAGTCTACTCTCATTTAATATTCATCCACAAGCCCACCCTAACTTTCTTGGGGACCTAGACGTCATACACTCTGGTTTGCCATACCCTATTAGAGCTTTCGTTAGTCAGTTAAAGAACGCCACCATCCCGATGTTCTGGAATACTAAAATCAAACCTTTGCTACCTTCATTATTATCCGTGAGAATCGTTCACCATTAACCATCCAAATGAATGCAGGCACAAGATAGATGGGAGTTCAGGATTAGATTACAAATGCTTTGTATTAGCTGACATGATGTGCTCTTATTTGAACCAGAGATTTGTAAATTTTTTATTTTACCTTCTTTTTAATCTGGAAAATAATTATACATCAAGGCAATGTTTGACTTTGTAAGAATCATTGACTTCCATTCAGAAGTATTATTTCCCATTTTATTTTGAATATATATGGGTCTTCACTTAAAAGCCCTCAGAGTCATTGTTTCAATTCTGAGACACAATGGATGACTTAACCTATTAAAGCAAGTGCCTCTCTTTTTGTTAAGGCTTTGTCATTGTGATAAAAAGTGAAGTTATGTCAAGTGGTTGTGAGTGTTAAGCTGCTTTGTTGATACGCAGGTGTGGTACTTGTATAGTTTATTTTATTTATTTATATCATCATGCCTTTTTCCTGAAGTGGTTATGATATCTTTATTATGGAATACTAGTAGACCCTACAGACGTTATCCTGCTTATTCCACATCATTAGGTTTCCTTTGCCATCTGCCGGGCTGATTTGTCGAGTTAGACCATCCCTAGATCTCGTTGGCAAAGAAGTCAGAGGGTGTAGGAAGAGAGAAAAAGGCATCATAAAAAATTCTCGGTACTGTTTTAAAATATCAAATCATCGTACAAAATGACAATGGCAAACATAGTTAGAAGAAACCTGAAGGGAAAAGGGAGATATGGTCTGCTCTTTATTTGTATATATTACAAATCTCGCAGTCCAGCTTCTGGACTCAACCATATCTGAGGGAATTAAATGGCAAACTTCATCCATCTTTCTATATGGCCGAACCACCTAAGCATTCCCTTTCGTATACTTGTCAATTCATCATCTTTTGACCCACATTGATCTTGTATCTCACTATTTATTTATTTATAAGTTCTAAAACAA